CTTCCATTATGATATCAATAAACAGCCTGCATAATGTCATCTCAGTTTCACATCAATGTCATCACTCGGTCTGTCTATTTGGATTTATGCAATATTAACCGACTGCCTTCTGGCTGTTTCATCACCATGGAGACTGCAGCTGTCAGTCATTCAGGTCCCTTAGGTTGGGACTTCTCTGCCATAGCTACACAGACATTGACACTCTCCCCATTTTCAAATGCAGACTCAAACCTGCCTAAGGTTACCTACTCATTGTGAAGGCTGTTCATTAAAAACATAGATTTTTAAAAAATATTATGCAATAAGGACTACTTTTTAAGCACTTTTAAATGCATTATTAATGCATTTAAAAGTGCATTAATACCATACCTTGTATTAACACAATGATTTCTTGTTAAACAAACAGGTCATATTATTGACTTGTAAGGTGAACATTATAGATGTTCAACAAGATGCAGTTAAAATCTATGACCAAAATTAGATGAGAAAAAAATCTGAAAATAAACTGAATATGCCTCAGTTTGCACCTTTGGGATAGACAGCATCAGGCTCCTGATTGGCTGAGGAGGCTTAAAAACCTGAACCTCCTCTATGATGTAGGGCCCCTGTCGGAGCAGCACTGCTTTGTGTAAGTGACCAGACTCTGGAAGACAGTAAGGACAACAATTAAATATCTGAAAGGAAATCGTGTTCTGAAACAAACCCTTAGAGAAATGACAGTAAACTTTTAAACATTTTGTTCTAGCAGTGGGAAACAACATGCTGTGTCTCATGGCTCACCTGTCAGCAGAAACAGGACAGTGTAGAGCTTTTTATTGGCAGCCTGGACTCTCTGAACCGTCAGGTGGCTATAGATGTGCTCACGAGACACCAAGGTCAGGCGTCTTCCAGCTGGACGCACACTGTCCTCTGCCAGGAAGTTTTCTTTGACAAAGCGCAGAGCATTATCTGAGGCATTGTGCAGGCCACACTAACAGACACACAAAAACAAAGTTTGACACAGATTTTAATAAGGAGTTTTAAAATCTGTTTCACTGCTTTTGCTTCTAAGGATCTGAATTAACACTGAGTGGCAGTGGCCCAAGTGACAATTTGGGGGTGGTTAAGCTCTGACACTGAATTCAATATTAGTACTAGCTGCTCTGTATGTGTTTGGAATAATCCACAGATCTTTATTAAGTCTATGAGTTACATATCATTGTNTGGAAGTTATTCTACCTTTATGTTTTATGGCAAATGGTCAGATTTGAGACTTAGCCACGTCCACATGCTTTGACGTAGCTAAAAGAATTTGATAACTTTTGACCTTCAGTGCCTCAAGACTGCGCTGAGTGATTGTGAAGCCTGCATCTCAAAAGCTGAAGGAGGAGTTCACTCAGATACAACGTGTGTAAAAGACACAAAATGGCGGCTTTGATCCAAAATAGCCGACTTCCTGTGGGGTTTGAACCATGGCTCCTGTCAAGATACAGAATTTCATGATTGTTGGCCAAAGCAAGGTCTGGGGCTGAATTTTTTTATTTTTTTTATTCTAATGGAGGAATTAGGTAAAGGTAAAGCCGTTCATATAAAACAAGTCTATCTACCCAGAAACAGAATCTCCATGGTTACCATGTCTTTGCCCTGTTCCTACATCATAGAGCATACTATGGCTTTGATATAAAATTGTTGTAGACAAGTATCCAAATATTTTGTTCCCTATATCACCTAACAGTACATACTACTGACAGACAATGTTCATGGTAGCAGTGTGGGACTCACAGCGCAGTCTGGGTGACGGAGACCTCCACACAGGCCCTGCTGGCTGCATCCCAACCACAGAAAGGATCCCGGGAAAGAACACACTGGGCACAGGTCCAGTAGTAGGAGCAGTTAGCAGTTGGAATCCTCACCACCCCCTCTGATGTTCCAACATATAGCATACCCTGCATTAACACAATGAGTAATCAATCAGTGCAACATTTGATTCAGGGAATCAGTAACGGTGCTCCATTCAGAAGTGGTCGTCTGATGGTCAATGCAACCCAAACAGACTCATTACATGGACCTCAAGACATGAGTGTGACTTTCCTGACAGACCCCATAGGTTTGGTTCCTAGTAAACTTAGCTTAAAAATAAGCTGTAAAATACGCTTGTAAAACAAGATGGCGGACCTGGGTGGGCTGACATCACTCTGCGCTACTGAAACAAAAGGAGTGCATTTGCAAAAAAAATTAAATCGTCATCAACAGAAAATTTGATTAATCGATAAAATTGATTTATTGCCCAGTCATAGGTAATGTCAATGTTAACAACTGGAATTTTCATTTTTTAGAGGGTCAGAAATCAGAATGCCACATTCTTCCATTATGATATCAATAAA